ATTCGATCAAGGGTGGGGGGCAGACGGGGGAGTCCGAACTGTTTAAGCACGGTCCTGCGGTCCGACGATCTCAATCTTCTCCACGCGTCCTCAAGCCGTCGGGCGCCATCCATTCCAAACTCCAACACTCGTCGTTTGTGACAGACCGCGTCATCAAGCGAAGACGTTGACCGGCACTTCGGGGTCCGAAGCCGAGTGTGAGACGTCCAGTGACGGCGGTGCCGACGAACGAGGCGACGCGCATGACACGGACAGCGTCCGGGTCGCTCGTGCCCGCACCGCCGTCGTCGTCGTCGTCGGGTCTCATGAAGAAGTTTTCATCGAAATTGGGCTTCTCGGGGCTGCGCACCGGGTGGAGCAAGCCCTCGACCAAGGTCCATTGATCATTAGAGTTGTGCAACAAAGGGCCTTATTGTTGCAATAGACGTCGACGCTGACACTGCGACGCAAGGGCGACAAGGCGACGCGGTCGCTGGAATTGCAGCTCGAGTCGATCTCTGGGGGGTTTGACGAGATCAAGTGGAAGTGCGCGCTCTTCCTCTTTGATGCGGACGAGGTGGCCTCGACGGCGCCATCCCAGATTCAAGTACTTTCGAGTTCGGGCGCCATCTTGTCGTCCAAGACGGACAAGGGCGCGGTGCAAAAGCTCTTTAAGGACAAGGCAAGTGTCTGGACCATCGACATTGGTGCATCGCGCGAGTCGACGGAGGAGTAAACAGAAGAATGAGTAAGTTAATTCAACGTCATTCATCCGTGTATTAAAAATGGGGCCTCGGAAAGGATGTTCACGACGCCGGATCAAAACTGAAGAGGTTGCCGCCGAGGAACGAGCCAGGCGTCGGCAGCATGTTGTAGAGCTCGCTCGACTTGAGCCCGTCGAGCGACAAGTCAAGCGGCGACAACTGCGCTCTCGGCGGGTGGCCACTCGACATGCAAGTGCTACTACTACTACTGCCATGGCAGGACGACGTGCCCGGCGTCTTGGCAAAGCGTGGCGTCGGAATGCGCTGCAGCATCGGGTCCATGGGCCCGAGGAACTCTTGCAGCGACAAGTCCATGGGCGGCAGTTTGAACTGGGCCATTGCCGCCGACGACGACGTGAGCATCGGTGTCTCTTTTGCGTCGCCCGACCACGCTTTTGACGACGCCCGCGTGTGCGTTTGCATGTGCGAGTTGCGATTCGACGCTTGCGCAAAGGTGCGCGGGCAGCCGGGAAAGAGGCACGGGAACGGCTTCAAGCCCGTGTGCGTGCGTAAATGCGTCTTGAGATTCGCCTTGTACGCAAAGTGCTTGTCGCACGCGGGGAACGTGCATCGAAAGGCCTTCTCGCCCGTGTGCACGAGCATGTGCCGCTTGAGCTTGGCGCGCTCGTAGAATTTCTTGTCGCAGCCGTCAAACGTGCACAAAAACCGCTTCTCTTGGTGCGTCAACAAGTGCTTTCGAAGCACCTACCATGTGCACTGAGCGACACCGAAGAGCGCGCATGGATGGATAAATCCATACCTTGCGGTCCGTCATGGCCTTGCCGCACCCGAGGCAATGGAAGGTCTTGGCGCCGTTCTCGTGCGTCTGTACCGTGTGCGGGCCCCACGTGTGCTGCGTCACGTGGTCTTTGAGACCCTGCGCATCTTCAAAGACGAGGCCGCAGTCGGGCTCGACGCACACGTGGCCTGTCTCCATGACCATACTATGCGGCTAAAGAGGAGAAGGACAATGAGCAGCCATCCATGTCGAAGAAGGCAGGTACCTTGACGAGCACAGGCGTGTAGAAAGGCTGCTGCTGCCAGTTTTGGAGAAAGGCCATCGCTTGTGCGGTAGCGTTGAACCTTGGCAATGATGGCGCTGCTTTTCAAAAAGCGCGCGTTCCTATGTTTAGAAAGGGCGAAAATAGCTTCGTATTTTGAAAGCGCTAAAATTAGAGCCAAAGGGCAAAGTGCAGTACAAGAGTAGAAAGGGCGACGAGGCAGAGTGCGCCGCAGCGTGCATGGAATGCCCTCCATCAACTTTACTTGCGAATGTACACTAGTCGACGAGGCGTGCTATCGAGGCGTGCTACTACACTGTACGATGCGGTCTCAATTGCGGAAATTATGGAAATGATGACGTGGTGTGTGGGACAGATTGGATCTGCGCGCAGCAAGAACGTCTACAACCACCACGCACCAAATGCGAGACGGAGAAAGGATGTGCGCTTCCAATCTGGCGCGTGTACCAGTGCAAAGCAGATAGGAATGGAGTGCTACAGTGTACACCACCGTCTGCTACAAATACTAAAAGGGCAATAGCGTCTCGATGGGCTTTTCAGGGGGTCAAACGTTGCAAGCACTCAACCTTGGGCGGTCCCGGCCGCGTACAAGATTGCTGTGGGCTGCGTCGTAACAAGTGCTCCACGATTGGATGCGATGCACAGACAAGGAACAACGCGACAGGACGTTTTTGTGCGATGAAAGGTGAGCTTACGGTGCAAGGGCCGCATCGTCTTCCACTTTGTCTGGAAAGCGCGAATCTCTTGTTGCAACTTTGTGTTGAGCACCAATTTGTGTAAATCCTACAGCAACATGTAGGATGAATCGAGATGTCGAGCAGCGTGGTAACGTTACCACGGAGCGCTGGGTCACGGGGCAAACGCCAGCACCATCTTGAACGACGTGCACGATCGCTTGGTGTTCGTACGTCAATTCTGTCTCGGGCGAATACATGGGCTCGAGCATGAGAGAGCGGTTGATGGGGCAGAGAAACTTGGCGGGAATCGTTGCAGCCGGTGGGCTCTTGGGGCCGTTCTCTTGCTGAAACACCTTCTTGTCGCGCACGGGCGGCAACCTACGCCCATTAACGCTGAGTAAGGACTTCACACATATGAATAGATACATTTTGGGCGCATGGAAGCGCGAGAGCCCTTGGTAATCGAGGTTGTGGGCGACGACGCTCGGCCGGCGATGCCCCGAAGCGTGTTGGCCGATGCTCGTCGGTGCGACGCTGCGCCGGCGGCCGCGAAACTGCATGGCGGTCGCTACCCACTCGAGCATGACGCGTTCACTGTACGCTTCAAACGTTGCATCTGCGCAGGCCCACCTTTCAAGGCCAGCTTACATCACATACGATTTGCGTACCCACGGGCGCAGCAAGGCGCACTGCGCTATGTAGCTCAGTCATGGCCGGGCGCTCCCAGGACGACGACCGCGTCACCGAATTGTAAAAGTAGCCCTGCTCATAGTCTTCGCACCACACGACAATCCAGCCGGGGGGCAACGGGGGGGGAAGCACCCACACCGACTCGTGCGTCGTGACGTTGTAGTAGTAGATGGCGTGGCCATCGTTGCCAATGTACTGGTCCCACTAGCAAGTCCAAGATGTGAGCTGAATACAGAAAGGCGATTGCTCGTACACGCTCCTTTGGCTGCGGCAAGGCCTGCGGGTGGGCCATAAAATAGACCTCCGGGGCTTGCAAGAGTCCAAGGACGAGCGTAAACGAGAGCTTGTCGCGAAGCACGTGCAGGCCTTTTTTCGACGCGAGCACGCATTTCGCGTGGAAGCGCGTTCGGGTGTCGAGCGGTGCGCAGAGAAGCGCCAGTAGCCGTGCGACTTGGTTATTGCTGTTGTACATGGCGTGCTGAAAGGCGTCGACGTTGATCAAGATGGACAAAAAGTAGTGGAACGCGGCGCCGTTTTCCAAGAAGAAGAGCACGACGGGGTGTGTCGCTAATGCAGTTCAATAATTGCTTTTTGCAGTCCACCACTCTCGACATACCTGACGAGGTCGGCGCTTCGAGCACGGCAGCGCAGAGCCCGCTAAGCCACTCATGGAGATACGGCGCCGTCAGCGGACTCGCTGTCGTATGGATGGACGCAGCTTGGAACGTCAAAGCGACCATTAGCCGTAGCCAGTGCGTGAGACAGCGCACGTGCAGCTGAATCTTGCGCGCCGGCGTCACGCAGTTGCCGGGCGGGAGTTGCCACCGCGTTTCGTGCGTCTTGCAATTGTAATAGTAGGGATGTCTGCACCATAAAGGACAAGTTGTCCACTATGATACATTTGCAGATCGAGTACCCGGTCGCGGCATCCTTGTACTGAAACCACGTTGGCTCGGTGGGATGCGCGGCCGCGCTCACCGGGTGCAGTGTGAGCACGACGAGAAAGTAGGGCACGAGGCAATCGTGGAGCAGCCCCGACGACAGCAAAACATGCTTCACAAACGACGTGCGCAGCGGCACGTCGGTCAAAAGCAGCGCGAACGACTCGATCGTGCAGAGCAGCGAGTCCATCGCGAGATGCAGCGTCGCCGAGTCCGAGTACGCGTTGAGCAAGCCCGCGTTCAAGTGCCGAAACACTGGTCCGTTCAGGACCTTGTGCAATCCGTTGGACGCCATTAGCTCCGCCGCCCGCGCATGCAACTAGCCACAATGTCATACATGTCTACTGTTCAATCGACAATATTGTACCTCGTGCGAAAAACCTTCCACGTCCCCATGGTCGTCCTACCACGAAATCGTAAAGGCTAACGTAGGAACCACGTACGTTGGGGGTAGGGTATCCACACGGCAGCGTGAGCTCGTGAAGCACGCGGGCAAGCGCGGGCACTAGCGGCGGCTCAAGGTGCACGAGCGAAGCGTCTGAGAGCACGTGCAGCAGTAAGGCCATCGTCGCCGACGCGTTGCCGCCCATAAAGTCGATTGCATCAACCGCGCGCAGCTTGTACTCGGCAATCCGCACCAATAGTAGGCTATTTCCACGCAACTCAATTTAGTTCCGATGACATCAAAGTCCATACATCGTGGCGCAGTGCATGGTCTCGTCCTTGGTTGTTATAGCGGCGAGTGCTGTTTCAAATGCGTCGCCAGCAGCTTGGATGGCATCGAGCGTCAGCGTGCGCCCCGATGGTGTGCGTGCGAGTAGACTGAGAGCCTCGATCGCCGATGTGACGGAGGCGACCGAGGCGCTGGATGTGACTGCGTCGACGAAGAAGTCGACGTCGGCCTTCGTCGCGACCGTCTGGCGCCGGACCTTCTCGAGACGCGCTTCCATCGATGTCGAAAAGTGCCTGGCGATGGTCCTCAACCGCCAAAGGCAAAACGTTCAACGCTCGCAACGGCCACGTGCTCGCCGCTGCCTCGGCCGCTATCCTATCACCTCGACCAGGTAATCGGAACCAGGATGATACCGTGGCCAGCGGCGTAAACATCGTGATACAAGCTCAGTGTACTTTGCTTCAAATACCGCAACGAGTTACCAACGCTGTCGGTCGGAAAACGCGGCAAGTTGTTCGACGCGAAACAAGAGCCAGAATGCACAATAATGACCAACATGTGCCGTTTAACAATGATTAACATAAGCAGTTGAGCCTGAGTATACGAGTCGACACGCCTTGTAGCTGCGCAAGGACATGACGGCATACGAGCCTTTCGAGGAACCGACCCACGTCACAAGCTGAACGGCCAAGTGCTGGCGGATGGTTCATAATTAGCGTGAGTCTATTTTCGTCATCACTTTCATTGATGCCATGAACAACGAAGTCGAAGTGAACACCGAGGCTTGGAAGTCGGTGACCTCCCGAGTCGCGTTGTCTAACGGTATGGAACGTAGGGCGTTTGGCTCCGATACCGAGGCTGGTCGGCTCCTCAAGAAGCTCTACAACGGCAATGCCAAGCCGCAAATCAAATACCCCAGTACACTGCACGTTTGATGCTCTAGAAGCCAACGCAGCCACGTAGAGGTACTCACCAAGCAGCGGGAGTCCGCGGGACCGTTCATTCCCGGGGGTGGCGTCGCCGCGCGCGATGCACGCAGTTCTAAGCTCGCCACGTCCAACACAGCACGCGCCATCAAGGTCCCTGCACCTTGCGCAAGCAACCAAGCCTCGGTAGGTTGCCACTTTGATCTCCATCCGTGAGAGCGTTTGGTAGCACCAATTTCACGCCATTGATGTGCTGCCGATCCACCGTCGACCCAAGGAGGTTATTGAGAAGGAGCTCGCACAGATCAAGGCCAGCATCGAAGGCTACCACCCGCGTGTCTCCAAGTCCGCCTCTTCGCTTCGTTTGTATTTCCTTGCAAGCATGATGTTGCGTAGGTTTCCAGGCTCCAAGGAAGAAAAAGAGAAATTGCAGCAGAAATTCACCTACCTGCCGGGCTCGATCCTGCCGCGTGAGATGCTGCCAGGCGCAGGTATTCGTCCACTCTACAACTGGCAATGGTACAATTCTTGTTGTGGCGTGTAGATCTCTTAAAGAGCTCAGTCACCAAGATGCGCTGCGAGAGCCAAAGTCAACGCTCACCGAGCTCCGCAAGCTCGCCAAGCAAGTGAACGCCGAGATTGACGCTCGGAAGCGCCACGCTGACGACATGGCCGCACTCGGAAAGCCCGTGCCTGCGCTCCAGTGGGCGGAGGAACTCTCAGGTCTCTACAAGGACCTGCAGAACATTCAGCGCCTTATCCAAGAACACTCGCGGAACGACTGATGGTCTATAGCAATGGATTCAACATTACCCAATTCACAATCTCTATAAGTGCAAAGTTGTGCTACACGCTATGTCATTTAGCAATGTCTTCCAGTCGCACACTCGGCGATGCATGGGTGCACGCCGGCGTCCGTCGACTATTGCCAGAAACATGCTAACGACATCTAGCCACAAATCCCGGTGCCGTAAACAGAGGTATCCGGAGGCCCAAGCGTCTCCAAGTAGCGCAGTACCTTCTTGTGACCGCGGCGTCTCGCTGCTTCTTCAACCATTGGCGTCCATCCAAAGCCATAGACGTCGTGCAAATGGCGGAGCATGTCGAGATGGCCGTAGGACGCTGCACGGGCCATCATGCGCTCCGAGATGCGACCTGGTAGCTTCGTTGGTAATTGAAAAGCACCGTTCCCAAGCGCCAAGATGTCGAGGCTACCACTGCGGGCAGTGGCCACGAGTAGCAAGGGCAGTGGGATGTCGTCGCTGGACGTCGACGAACCGAGTTGCCAGCAGCGGCGAGAGAGGACGTAGGCGATGGTGTCGACGTGCGTCCCTAATGTCGCCATCACGATCGCGTGGCGGCCGCAACGTTGGTCGAACGACTCGTGGAGGAAGCGCACAACGTGCAAATGACCGTTTTCCACGGCTTTGTCAATGGCATTCGGCGGCACGTCGTAGCCACGAGCGACGAGCAGCTCCAGGATGTCGAGGTGGCCTTGGCTCGCCGCCCAGTACGTCGGCGACCCTCTGACGTAGTCGACACCCGAGTTGCCCAGGGACCCATTTCATTGTAGCGGGCAAGTCGCCACGCTAGAGATCAGGCGTGTCACTCTGATTGTCGACGCCACCCGTTGGCACGTCCAAGAGGTACGTCACCATCGCCATGTGACCAATATAGGCTGCAGTGGCCAAGGCGGCGTGGGTTCGACACAGTCCGTAGACTTCATGGAGCCAGCGCACAACGTCAAGACGGCCGGCGGCGACGGCGAGAGCCATCGCGTCGTCGCCACAGCCATCGCGTCGGTTCTTGTGCAGCCAGTCGAGCACGTGCAGGTGACCACCGTAGGCGGCGTAGACGATGGCTCGCTTCGACCCGACGCGAAGGCGACTCGCGTGCAAGAGCTTGAGAGACGTCAGATCGCCGTTGAAGGCTGCGAGCTCCATCACGTTGCAGCCCTCCCACGGGTCGAACGGACTGGGGCCGTTGGCCAATAGACTGAATGAGGTGGTCTCATGTTGCACGTCCGTTGGCAGCCACTCGTCGTCGCTCGGTGGTCGCGGGTGCTCTTGGTCGATGTAGGCGAGGACGTAGCGCAGCATTTCGTGGTCTTGCTTGGCGACCGCCAGCTCCAGTAATGGCTTGGTCATTTGTTTGAGGTACCCACGCGCGTAGACATGTCGAAGGACTGCCAGACCACCCTTGTCCACAATCATAGTGAAAGCGTGGTCCGTCAGCTCGACGGTCGCTGCGACAAGGTCGACGGCCTTAATGTGCGTCTCGCCTCGTACACTGTGCGTCTTGTGCTCGCCATGCGGCACTTTAAAATTGAGCGAGGGATCAACGCCTTCGGTACGCTGCTCGAGAAGAAAGCGAACGATCGACGCATGACCGTGGACGGTTGCTGCCGTTGCTGCCGTGATCGTGCAGCCCTCGGTCCGTGCAGATTGCAAAAAATGGACGATGTCATAGTGACCGTTCATGGCTGCGCCGTCCATCGCGTCAGTGGTGCATGCAGCACCCGTCACATGAAGCTATTTCAAAAGCTCGAGATCGCCCGACATGGCGACAAGGTCCATCATCTTTGCAGTGGCTAGCGCTGGAAACTGCTCGAAAAGAAGACGCAGAATCGGACCTTGAGACGCAGCAGCAGCAAGCTCCAGCGTCGCCGATGTACACATCGAGGCATCCCATCGCAGCCAACGCTGGACGAGCGCCATGTCGCCTTCGACAATCGTTAGATGGAGCGCGAGGGCGCGGTCGTAAAAGCGCGGCGAGACAAAGAGCGCGTGATGAGGAAGCTTGGTCATCGGGTGTGGGTAGCGCTGGAGGTACGGCAAGGATGTAAACCGAGCTGGGACATGAGCCAGGTATCCCGTTTGATCTTCGTTGATGAAATTCGAGCACCGCGTGAGCTCGACGGCGTCGGCAAGGCGCTGGACGATCGCCAAGTCTTGGGGTAGACCATCTTGGTACGACACAACAGCCGCGATGAGGTCGGGCGACCGAAGCACGGGTGAGGCCATCCTCGTCAATGGGCAATCGGTGTTGTCTGCTCGGGTGCTATCAATAATGCGGGGTGCTTTCTATCAATAATGCGACCAGAATGATGGATGGACCGTTGACTGTCACTCTCGTGCTGTTATCCGTACATAATTCCGGATAATAAAATAGAAGCCCGATTCCAAATTGCCGATGGCGGCCACGCGGTCATTTCGCAGCGGTATCGGTACTAGAAGCAAGCTCCATGCTAAAAGCATGGACTGAAGCGGGTATGTGTTCTCGACGATGTGCACAAGATCGTCACCACGCGCAAACCTTTCTATGCAAAGCGTGGTGCATCGAGACACGATGCTTTTTCCAATCAACAACTCCCATCGCTCCACCCTCCTCACAATATTCGCCACGTCAGTCAACGAGAGTGTCTTAGGTCATGTCAATCTAGCGAAGAGAAAACGTACGAGCAAGCTCGTCCGGTAATTAGTAGCTGGTCAGCGACGCACTGTGGCAGCGCCAACATAATGAACGCTTTAGCACCGGATCAAACGTACTTCTTGCATGCACCCAGTGACAGCCTCGATACATACTTCTGTAAACGATGCAAACGACAGATGTGGTAGAGTACAATAGAGTGTATTTACAGCTCAATTACGTGGCAGCCTCCGAGAGCGCGGCGGCATCGACCGCGGTGGCTGTCGCGAGACGAGGGCGTCGTGGGCGCAAGACAAAGACGCTGTGAAACACCGCGTCAAAGACCACTTGGGCGCCGTGAAAGTACGGGAATTGAAGCCAGAGCATAAGGAGCAGCTTGGTATGGTAAAAGAAGGGCACCCACCAAAAGACGGCCTCGAGCGACGCGTAGAGTGCCTCGACGATCGCAACCACCGTAAAGTAGCACACCCACCACTCGTGCGTGCGGCGGTGCCCGAGCGCCAGCGTGCCCATGGCCACGTACGCCGGAAACGCCAGCGCAATGACGTCGCAGCCGCGGATCGTCAGAAACCCGGGCGTCCCAAGGAAGAGCAGTCCGAGCAGCGCCGGGCCTTGCGCGCGAAGGTCTCGGAGAAAGTTGGCCGACCGCGCCGAGAGCGCGCCCATCGCGGTCAGCGCGCGCAGCACCATGTTGGACGACGCGTGCTCGTCCGCTTCGCCGTGGACGGGCAGCCGGTTGGCGTACGGATGCATGTACGCGGCAATGGCAGCGTACACGACGCGGTAGCCGCGGGTGAGCGGGAGGTACAACCAGAGCAGAAATACATTGGTCGGGACGAGCGAGATCGAGCACACGGAGAGTACGAACGACGGCAGCGCGAGCGAGAGAAGACTGACACTGGTGTGGTAGAAAGCCCATGGGATCCACACGTGGAGGCACTGCTCGAGGTACTCGTCGTCTGTCTGCGTGAGCGGCTCCGTGAGCACTTTTCGCCGCCGTAAGAAGACCGTCTGCATCGACTTGAACACGGGCAGCCAGCGCGCGAAAAAGATGAGAACGTTCTCGTGGCCAATCACGAAGACGACCGCGTCGACTTGCAAGAAGACATAGGCGGCGACGGCAAACACGGCGTGGGGCAGGGCCATGCCCGCGAGCTTGGACTTGGCGTAGACTTGCGACAAGGCTCGATGGTACCGTCGGCGCAAGGTCGCGCGAAGGCGAAGGTAGAGCTTGACGAGTTTGCGGTAGTAGCCGCGCCGAAGCGCCATGTACACGAAAAGCGTGATGCTGACGAGGCCGACTTGCAGCTCGAGGTCGAGGTCCAGGAACGCATCGCAGAGCGCCAACGCGCACGTCTTGGCATGCGGCATCAAGACATCGACGACAATGACCAGGTACGCCAGCAGCGGCACGAGCAGTAGCTTGGCAAACGACCACCAGGTAACAAAGGCGGCCCAGGACGCGACGACGGCGTCCGAGAGCGCATGGGCGACTTCGCCCACATCGACGTCGGTTGAGAGCTCGGGCATGGCAAAGAGAGCATCGAGGCCATCGATTATGGCTTCGACAGGCACGTAGGCTCGGACGAGAGCGCGCATTGAGGTCGGCCCGCTCTCGCGCGCCGTCGTGCAGGTCTGCAGGAGCACGGATTCGGCCATCGCCGCCAAGCTGGGCGCGGCGCAGTGAGCCGCTACCTCGGGTGGCGAGGCCATGCTAGGCGCATGTGCATGGACCAACACGGCGGCGACGAGCGCGAGGACGCCGGTGGTCCGCCGGACGCGCATGCTGCTGTTGGTGGGTTTCAAAAATCTGGAAATGCACTTTGAGAGGTTTTTGACCACGCAATGGGCCGCGGGCCCGTCCAATATCATGTTTCAAGGTACACTTGAAGCTTGTGGCGCAAAAATGGGTACCAGAGATACGTTGAAGCGCCACCGTGTCCAAGCACCTGCACGAGCGCCAAAGTCGCATTGTCTATGGCAATCGACCCTTTTCTGGTTAATGCTTTAGTACTTTAGCTCAACCCGTTGGATATATATGTTTCGAAATATCACGGTGATGGACGTTACGCCGTCCTGGACTGTCCGCAGAGCTGCCTATCAAGGGAATGCTGGACAGTCTCCCTTGGTGCTCACGGACCAGTGGTGTCACTTGACGCTACTGCTACGCCCTTTGCGTTGACGTGAAGAACGACAACACAGAGTTGTGTGAAGAGCGATTCGCAAGGTCGTCGAAATGAGAGACGCTCCTCTGATGCAGGGAGTAGTATTCATCTGGAGTGGATTGCATCTCCAGTCACACCTTGGGACGCGGATGCTTCAACCAGTGAATTCGCAGGCAGACAGGTGTAGCAGATAATAATATTCGCTGGTAGAGAAGCCGTGATCAAGGGGACACACGACCTCAAAATTGTGCTCTGCGAGGGACAATCGAACCATTTCTCGACGTCTGTCTTCACGAGCAATGCTAATGCCGGCATTACAAGAGTCATGCGCTCTAGACAGGCTGTTGTAAGCTCGGATCCATCGGCCTGGACGGCGAGATCGTTGTATCCAGTGTTTCAAAGTGCAAAGTGGATTTCCGACAGCGGGAATATTTATTCTGATGCCGTAGGGGCTTCCATACCAACGTGTTTAGTTTGGCAACTATCGTCTAGTAACCCATGTCATGCATCTTTGTCAGCCTTGATAACGAGGCCATTTCGGTTCGCCTCTCAACCACAACAGAGTTGTGCCACCTCGATTCGTCTCGCAGATCGACCAATGCATTCGTAAAACGTCATATTCTCCATACTATCGTTCATTACTACTACTGGTACACAATAATCGCTCCTGTCATGGATGTCGTGTTCCTTAGTCAAGGGAATAACTAGTTATTCCCTTGTCCCTAGTACAGCAAAAAAGCGTCGGTATCGCACACATCGCTTCAAGAAAGATACACCGTTTCGTCAACCAATCACAAAGCTCGCTTCAAAAAGCGCCAACCAATCAAGCACCACTACGAAGCGATTCCGCGCATACTCATCAAACCATCCATACTAATCTGCCATGGCGTGAACCACGCCGTCGTCTTCGCCAGCCCATTCGTAAATTGACCTGCTTCCCCATGACCTTCTCCTTCAACGACATCCCGGACCTCACTGGCCAAGTCGCCATTGTCACTGGCGCCAACTCGGGCATCGGCCTCGTCACTGCACGCCAGCTCGCGCTCCACAACTGCCACGTCATCCTCGCCTGCCGGTCCGCTGAGCGCGCAAGTCCCGTCGTCGACGCTTTGGCTGCCGAGATCAGTGCGACCACTGGCAAGGTTGAGTTTATGGCCCTCGACATGATGAGCCTGGCGTCCATTCGCGCATTTGTCGCTGCGTTCATCGCCAAGCAGCTGCCTCTGCACATTCTTGTCAACAACGCTGGCATCATGGCTGTGCCCTTCCGTCTCTCGGTCGACGGCATCGAATCGCAGTTTGCGACCAACCACGTGGGCGTGATGGCGCTCACGCTCGGCTTGCTTCCACTCCTCGAAGCCGCGCCGGTCGCCAAGATTGTTTGCGTGAGCTCAGCGGCCCACCAAATGGCGCCAAAGATGGGCATCAACTTTGACCATATCAACGACGAAGTCGCGTACAACAAGCACACGGCGTACGGTCAATCCAAGCTAGCGACGATCCTCTTTGCGCGGGAGCTACACAAGCGGCTGCGGGCGCGGGGCGTCAACCACGTCTACGTTAACGCGCTGCACCCGGGCATCGTACAAACCGAGCTCTTCCGCGAGTATTCCTGGATCGTGCAAAAAATCATTTGGTGCTTTCAGCGCACGGCCGACGACGGAGCCAAAACTCAAATCTACTGCGCGACGAGCCCCGAGATTGAGAAGAAGAACCTCTCGGCCAAGTACTTTACGCCGATCGCGAAACTCAACGAAACGACCGCGCTCGGCCAAAATATGGAGCTTGCCGCCAAGCTCTGGACCTTTACGGAGGAGCTCATTGCATCCAAGACACCATCTACGTAGACGGGGTACCACGTCGACTCTGTGTACGCCGTGTGAAAACAATAATGATGCACGAATGATGTCCAATGCGATATAGTAATAATCAGAAGACACTATCGTTAATCCGTCGACGCAGGACGCTTCGAGTACAGTAGAAAGGCGCTGCGCTTGCTTCGCACGCACGTGTACTTTGTTTTCGATGCACACATTGTCGTACGAGATTGAACACAATTCCACGCTGTCGATACAAAAGCTATAGAAAAAAATCCTGCAACCGAGCCAGATCGGCGGTGGCAATGATAAGTCGACCCCACCGTTGCTTTGACAGCCATGTCCATTAGTTGTGGGCATGCGTCCAGGCACAACGCTGAGTTTCGCCGATCTGTTCGACTCGATGCGTCGACAGGACGCCATCCATTCGCATGTAGCCGACTTGTGACTTTAATTCGCCACGTCAATTGGCCCAAGCGCCGCACAAGGCTACCAATGCATTGGGCCAACCTACCAACCTTGTATTGGTACCTCGCACACGGTTAAAACCAAACGACCTCCGTAATTGATTCGTGAAGTTATTACATAGCTATCAACCGAAGCGTCTCCAAGTAGCGAGACACCTTTCTGTGGCCGTGACGTCTCGCCGCGTCTTGCACACGTGGCGTCCACCTGACGCCGGAGGTGTCGTGCAAATGCCGGACCATCTCGAAATGCCCCCTCGCCGCCGCGCACACCATCATGCGCTCCGCGGCAATCGGTGGCAGCAAATGGAGTTGGAACGCATCGCAAACGAGATGCAAGATGTCCAGGCTTCCACTGCGTGCAGTCTCTGAAAGCAGCGCCATCAGATCGCATGTGTGCTCGTCTGCGCATGTGCACGTTTGCCACAAGCCATGCGACAAGACGTAGGCGACCACGTCGACATGGCGCTTCCGAACAGCAGATAACGTGGGTTGGTGGCCGGTAGGACGCTGGCCGAAACCCTCGTGGAGGTAGCGCACGATGCGTAAATGACCATCCGCCACGGCTTGATTGATTGCATTTGACGGTAGGGCATGGCCGCGGGCAACAAGCAGCTCCAGGATTTCGAGGTGGCCTTGGCTCGCTGCCCAGTACGTCGGCGACCCCGTGACGTAGTCGCCACTTGGAGTGCCAAGGTCATCTTGCCGAGGCAACGGCAACGTGCAGCGCCGATCCGGGCATACCCTGGCGTCGCCCTGGAGTCCCGAGTCACCCGTCGGCACGTCCAAGAGGTACGTCACCATCGCCATGTGGCCAATGTAGGCTGCCGTCGCCAAGGCGGCGTGGGTTCGACACAGCCCGTAGACTTCGTGGAGCCAGCGCACAGCGTCAAAGTGACCGCGGGCTGCAGCAAGCGCCATGGCGTCTTCGCCACACCCATCGCGTCGGTTCTTGTGCAGCCAGTCGAGCACGTTCAAGTGACCACCGTAGGCGGCAAAGACGATAGCTTGCTCCGACCCGACGCGAAGGCGGCTCGCGTGCAAGAGCTCCAGCGACGTCATATCGCCGTTCAAGGCCGCGAGCTCCATCACGTTGCAGTGCTCCCAATGGCCGAATGGACTCGGGTCGTTAACCATTCGACTGAATGAGAAGGTCTTGTCTGGCGTGTCCGTTGGCAGCCACTCATCGTCGCTGGGTTGTCGCGGGTGCTCTTGATCGATACAGGCGAGGATATACCGCAGCATTTCGTGGTCTTGCTTGGCGACTGCTAGCTCCAGCAATTGCTTGGTCATTCGCTTGAGGTACCCACGCGCGTAGACATGTCGAAGGACTGCGAGACCACCCTTGTCCACGATCATATTGAAAGCGTGGTCCGTCAACTCGACAGTCGCTGCGACGAGATCGACGGCCTCAATGTGCGTCTCGCCGCGTACACTGTGCGTCTTGAGCTCGTGATGTGGTCGTTTAAATTGAAGCGACGGGTCAACGCCTTCGGTGCGCTGCTCGAGAAGAAAGTGAACGATCGACGCGTGACCGTGGACGGTTGCTGCCGTTGCCGCCGTGATCGTGCAGCCCTCGGTCCGTGCAGAGTGCAAAAAATGGACGATGTCATAGTGACCGTTCATGGCTGCGCCGTCCATCGCGTCAGTGGTGCACGCAGCACCCGCCTCGTGAAGCCACACGAGCAGCGGGAGGTCGCCCGACATGGCGACAAGGTCCATCATCTTGGGCGTGGCCAGCGCAGGAAACTGCTCGAAAAGAAGACGCAGAATCGGACCTTGGGACGCGGCAGCAGCAAGCTCCAGCGTCGCCGAGGTACACAGCGAGGCATCCCATCGCAGCCAACGCTGGACGAGCGCCACGTCACCTTCGACGATCGTTAGATGGAGCGCGAGGGCTCGGTCGTAGACGCTCGGCGAGACAAAGAGCGCGTGATGAGGTAGCTTGGTCATCGGGTGTGCGTAGCGCTGGAGGTACGGCAAGAATGCAAACCGAGCTGGGACGTGGGCGAGGTATGCGCCTGGAAGGTCCTGGATGGAGAACCTTGTGAGGTTGACGGCATCGGCGAAGCGCTGGACGACGGTCAAGTCTTCGGGTAGTCCTTCTTGATATGCGACAATGATCGCAACGAGGTCGGGCGACCGGAGCACGGGCGACGCCAAGCAGGTGTCCTGCCCACGGGCGTTATTGGGTCGCACCGGTAGTCGCACGTTGGACAACATCTTTCAGAGTGATGGTACCGTACGTTGCAAGCAGGTACATTGCAGTACGTACAATGAAGTACGAACATTATTGCACTGTAATGTACGCGTCATATGGAACCGATCGAAACGATGCTTGCAGAAAGGCTGGACCGTCGAGCTAATAACTCGCTGGATGCTACTGGGAGACTTGTTGGTATGTCCAACGGAGCAATATATCTCAACCATCCAGGTATTGATAGACTACGTAAGTGCCCGCCAGCCATGTTGGGGGTGGCTTGGCAGGAATCGCTTATACTGCTAAGTATGAGGCTGAAACGCGAAGTGGCCACGCAGCCAGGGCTATGGTGATGAGACTACGAATCTTCTATCGATCGACTCGAATTCTCAAGGTCCTTCGCTTGCACGACCCTCTCTTTGCGCCAGAAATTATCAATTGATTGCAACCGTACACCAACTCTGTCTCGTCTGCTCTTGGTACACGCGAGTTTCGGAAGTCAGGGCCAGTAGACGAACGGCACAAGTCGCTTGGATACCGAATCGTGTTGCCCTTGAAAAAATCAAGTACGATGTACTAGTATGCGTTATTAAAGACGTGGTGATGACTGGCTGTACATGTGTCTAGAAGTACGTGTACGTCCACTGCTGCGACGCAAGGCCTTGATTGCCATGGGGCGTCGCCAGTGCAAATGTCGACTCAGAGTCGGAAGGTGCCGTCTGGGCGCTGGGCTGGCAGCCTTCGCAGCGGCTGAGGTACCCACCGGTGTAGGCGTTCTGGAGCGTGATCTTCTTGTCGCCAATCTCGCGGCACGTCCACTCGGTCACGTTCGACTGTGTTGAGAGGTCGTATGCGAACACGACTTGGTTCGGGTCGATGACGCCGGGCGCTCGGTTCAAGCTCGGCCCGATGCTCTTCGTCAAAATGTTGTTGGACCGGATCGTGTACCGGCCGTTGGCGAGCTCTTGAAGCTTCCAAATACTCGCGTCACTCGAGGCCACCATGACACTGGGGTCGCCAGCGGTGATGCAGTCGTCGCAAGCGTAAAGTCTCTTGCCGTTGTTCGCTGTGAGATAAAGCTCGGTCTCGTCCTTGAAGGTGCAAGGTGTCCCAACAGGCTGTGGCGCCGACGTAGGAGCAATCGTTGGCGAAGTGCCACAGGCATCGCCGGCAAAGGCCGTGGCTACCACGCCAAGGACAGCAAATATCACGTTGCCCACGACGACCATGGTGCTTGGAGTGGATTTGAAAAATGAGTTTACGTTTGTGGACGTCGCTCCGTGTACGGTTGCTGATAGCATCGCTGATAGCATCGCTGCTAGCATCGCTGATAGCATCGCTGATAGACTAGCAGGACGTGGTATACGTGTTTTTATGTGGATGGATGGATAAGACGGTGCTGTTCTGTGTCAAGGGGAGCAGGCTTGCGCCGCCTAGCACGATATTGATTCACCGTGCGTCCTCGCTCACGTCCATGTGTAACGTAGCCCGACATTAGCACCTTGTTAGTACCAAAAGATAGGATCGCGCGCGTCTCGTCGTGTCATGTGATGATGAGGATGCAGCCAACACACAACAAGAAGCGCAACGCAGCCACAGCCGAGGATAGGTTGTGCGTCTAGCTTTGTGGTCAAACCAGAGGACGTCTATTCCGGCGAGAAAACAAATACACTATTGCATTGCATACAATAAAGTACATTATTGTGTAGAACTGTTTTTCGTACATCTTTGGTGCCTGACGATCGTTTGCTGCACTTTGCGGCTGCCACGTCACAATCCGTTTTTGGACATATATTTAGCTAGAAATGGCACTGTGGTGAAACCCCACGCACAACGGCTACTCATCGCTAGCCATCAAGAGCGCATGGGGTGCGGCTCGTCGCTCGGTATTGGCTCCAAGGTCGCGGACCGGAACCCGCAAGAGCAAGCCAACAACGACAACTCGCCGCTCACGCCCGAGGAGATCCGGTCGCGCATCGTGTGCTCGGAAAAGTCGACGCGGCTTCAGCTCACACCGTCTCTCTCGATCGAGTACGCCTTTGTGTCCCAGCGCGGCTACTACCCCGACGGTACCCCTCTTTGCTCTATGTCATGGTGCCACGTCCAACCTAGCGATTGACAAGCCCAACCAAGACAGCTTCACTATCATCCCGAGCTTCGCGGGGGACCCGAGCAAGATCTTCTTTGGCATCTTTGACGGACATGGCGCGACCGGCGACCTCTGCTCGATCTTTGCCAAGAAGGAGGTCCCCGAGCGCTTGATTAAGCTCATGGCGAAAGGCACGCCGGGCAATTTCGCCGAAATTTACTCGGCTGCATTCACCGACACCAACGCCAAGGTACACTGTACTCAATGGTGCGATAGTCGCAGCATGCGATCTAGTTGCACACTTCGCGCATCGACGACAGTCTCAGCGGCACGACGGCCATCACGTGCTATATGGACGGCGACATCATCCACGTGGCCAACGTCGGCGACTCGCGCGCTGTGATTGCTCGCAACGACCAGCCACGTATTGTTGCCTCGCCGTTGTCGGTCGATCAGACGCCGTACCGCACGGTAAGAAGCCCTCTGTTGCGTGCTTTTTCATCATTTTCATTGCAATGTTCGTGGGTCGTGGTGCTACCGTTGCTGCTTAGGACGAGCGCGAGCGCGTTAAGCGGTATGGCGCCCGTGTCTTGACAATGGATCAGCTAGAAGGCATTGCGCCGATCCACGAGGTCCCTGCCTCGGATGCTTTCGTAGCTGTGGCTGACTGTTGCGGTGCGTAGAACTGGGCGACCGCTATCAACGAAGAAGTGGACGAAGACGGCGACCCGCCCCGCGTGTGGTCGCCCACGGGCAACTTTCCGGGCACAGCGTTCACGCGCTCGATTGGCGATGAGATTGCCGAGAGCCTCGGTGTCTTTGCGACGCCCGAGATCGCGTCGCTTCAGCTCACGCCGTCGGACCGGTACATCGTCATTGCGAGCGACGGCGTCTTTGAGTTTCTGACCAACCAAGCCGTGGTCGACATTATCAAGGCGTACTCGGACCCGTTGGAGGCGTGCGAGAAGGTCGTGACCGAGTCGTACCGCCTCTGGTTGCACTACGAGCTCCGAACCGATGACATTACAATCGTGTGCATCTACTTGGACCACACGGCGTCGAGCCACGACACGGAGGCCAACAAGGAGCGGCTCCAGAGCCAAAAGAACAACGATCTCATTACGACCAACATGCTCAACGACCGTGTCGCCGAGTTGCGCCCGGTGCGGCGCGGTATGTCCAAGCAGAAGCGGCGCGACCAAATGAAGAAGGACATGGCCAAGATGGTGACCGAAGAAGATCTCAACTACAAGATGAACGACCACGTGATTCTCAAATCCAAGCAAGAAATGGACAAGATCCAAGAGATCACGCAGACCAATTGGCTCTTCAAGCAGCTCACGGCGCAGCAGCGCAACGACGTCTACAAGGTCATGGTCAAGGTCACGGTCAACGAAAACGATGTGGTCATTCGCCAAGGCGACCCGGGCGACCGCTTCTATTGCGTCCAAAGCGGCGACTACCAAGTGCGATATATCCATTTAAGAAATGTCGATATTAAAATGAAAAAAATAGGTGACGGTCAAGAACGAGA